AAATTACATTCTCAAACTTTATACAATAACGATATTTTAAATATTGCTCCCTTTGGTTCACTTCATTTAATTTCAAACAATTTTAGAAGATTGCATGCACCCGTCCGGTTTCAATTACACCAAACCTGTTTTTGTGCGGTATACCTATTCCAACTTTATGCTATTTTTTAGACATGATTTCTGTCAGAAATTATATGTATATGTTACGGTAAATGTGCATATTTCGGTGAATGTGCACATTCACCGGTGAATGTGCACATTTACCGGCTCATTTGGCGAATGTGAGTTCAACTCGCGCGCGTGCGCACGTGCGAGTGAAATACTAATTCATATATCTATATTTATAGTTATATTTATATTTATATTTATATTTATATTTATATTTATATTTATATTTATATTTATATTTATATTTATATTTATATTTATATTTATATTTATATTTATATTTATATTAATTATTTTAGTCATATGCATATTAATACCCATTATTTATTACTATTGATCAGTTAACAATTTATTTATTAACTATTAACTATGAACTATTAACTATTTAATTAATAACTTTTAACTATTTAACCATTAACTATTACCTATTTAACTATTCTTAATTCACTATTTACTAATAATGATTCCCTATTTGCTAATATCTATTCACTATTTACTATTAACTATTCAGTTATCACTGTTCACGATTCACTACTTTACTATTCAAATACTATTATATATCTTGATCAAAATGAACAAATCTTCAACAGAATGTTATTAATCATTTATCACCATTACACCATTTTGGTACAAAATTTGTAACATGCTTGACGTATTTCGCGCATAGTCTTTATTGCGCATGCGTCAAATACGCGAGATATTCATAAGACCGATCCAAGTACGCACGTACACCATTGTTTTAATTTGATTGTTTGAGAACACGCCACATTCACCTAGCGTTTTGGGGAATGTGCACATTCACCGGTGAATGTGCACATTCGCCGAGAGTGCACATTTACCGTAACATATACATTATACATAGATACTTTCTTTTATCATTTATTTGTAATGAAATAATGCAATCGATATTCTGTTTCAATATTATTTTTTATTTATACCCGTTCATAAATATATCCTTGATGAAAACGCATCGTTAAGATTTAACAACTCTAGTAGAAACAATAAACAAACTTACTGCTGGTCTAATGATACAATAGATTTGTCCAGATGCAAATATAACATTTCAAGTAAATTATAGTATTATTTTTAACTTCCTGTAGGAACTTATCCCACAGGAAGTTAAAAATAGTACGCGCAAGAAACCGACTGATTTTTTTTACGTTTCAAAGGTTTCTGAACATTTTGTCATAACTTGTGGAATGCATGCAAAATAAGTGTGTGCTAATACAAATTTTCGTCAACGATTTTGGGAAAACGGATTAACCGATTTGAAAAATTAAAAAATAATTTTGAAAGAATAGTTTCGAAAATACAAAACCAAAACTGTAAATATGGTATTTCAGTTTTTGTTAGAACGGAGTATCCAATTTGAATGTATTAAAAAATATTTTATTTGTATTAACCAAATGAAGAACTGAACGATGGCAGAACTGCGGTTTCGGAGAATCCATATTCTATAAAAAAAAATCCATATGACGGTCAAAAATGATCATTAGCATATGCACATCAAAATATCAGAAATAAAAATTGCGAAGTGCTTATGCGCCTCGATATTTTGTCTCTGAAACATCTACACAAGAAAATTAAATATGTAACATAAAAAAATAAATTTTTTCAAAAGTAATTTTTGTTCAAAAATTTCCCAACTTTAGAAAATCAAATTTTTCAAAATTTTCAAAAAAAATAATGAAAGCTTTTTTTAAAAATTTCAATTTTCGGTACGTTTCAGCAATTTTTCTTTTTATTAGTTCAAAATTATCAGATAATTAACTATTTATATATTATTACACATTGTATTCATATCTTTGAAACTGTTTTTCATAACATATTTTGTAACTGATCTCTTATACAATTATTATTTAGACTTTTTCTCCGCACAAAAACAGGCGCAACTTGAAGTATTACAGCTTAATATTAAAAAACGGAATTTGTATCGGTATCAGTTTACTAACGAATATTCCAAAGCAAGCTTTTTATTTAAACCATGGATTTATTAATTGAATACGAAATATATGATACGCAACTATGTGACTATTGAAACATGTTTGTTTTTGGATATGGCTCGCTGTAAATTAAGGCAAAGGAAGGTTTCAAACTAGAATCAAGCCATGTATAGGATGCGACTCTGCTCTAAAAGTAAATTAATATTCGATATTTGATTGACTTTTAATTTTATGATTTTTTTTGGCATGATGCTTTAATATTACAATGTATATCAACAAAATTATACAATTTTTGTTGCAATTTACCACATCAGGCTTAGATAATTTCAAAATTATTTTATGGTATAAAAATAATGCATGGGGTTTGTTTATATATATATGATGTATGTTCGTAAAATTATATTATGATCTTCTTGTTTATACTGTAAATTTTTATGGTAAAAGCTTTTTAACAGCAATAGCTTTATTGGAATGTTTTATATTTGATCAAAAGCATGTGTATGATGCTTTTTTCTCTGTGTTATTAAATGTATTGTATTCAGAACATCTAAAAGAGCGAGACATACTTGTTTACCGAGGGTTCCGAAAATTTTTGTTTTTAGAGTTTTCAAGATTTTACTCGTACATTTCAACATGAAAATTAACTATTCTTATCACGTTTACGAACATGAATGTTATAGCATTCATTGTGTAAAATTCAGTGTGTAATCTGACTACCCTTAGTTATAGTTACACCTTACTTATCGATATTTATATTAGGAAAAATATTAATAATGAAATATTTTATTATATATAAATAAATAACTTTTTTTGAGTTCATCGACAATTTTTTGGTATTTAAACTACTTAAAGTTCGTATATAATTAAAAGAAACTATTATTAATAATACACCATCCTCCGCTTTACATGTTGGTTAGGTTCCCGAGTAACTCGAAAAATTTACTTTTATATGGAAAAATCGTGTAAAACATAAATCACTATTAAAAAAGCCTCATGTGATTTTTTTAATAGGATTAATAACAAATACGTTGAACAAAAAATAAATATTAATATATTTAATATCAAATACATTCAATAAATTATAAGAATATTGATTTATTAACTTCCTGAAGAAGAAGTTTCATAAAAAATGTTTCATAAAAAAATCCGACTCGCTAATTTTATGTTTACTCGACGTTTCAAGCCATTCTGAATCGAATGAGACCAAATTTGGAAAAAGTATGTGTGCGTGTGTGTGAACAGATTTTTTGCCGTAAATTGACGTTTTCTCCAAAACGGATGGACCGATTTCGAAAATTTAAAAGCCGATCGATGTATCTCGATGAGGACTAGAGTTTCTGAGTTTCGTGCGACGATCGGCCGGGCCGTTTCTTTATGAATTGCAAAAAAAGTGAAAAAATTTTCGTCCAAATTTTGAGAAAATGAGTAGCTTTTTTGACATTCGTTAAAATTAAAATTAGACAATTCACTTGGTATAACGATAGAGTACTTGATCTTAATGAACATACTAAACCATTAAAGTCTTATGGAAACTGGTTCAATTATAAAAATTATTGATTTTTGAAAATTTGCTTCTAGAAAATACTCCAAGTTAACGAGTTTGTTCGTTTTCAATTAAGTGTTATAAATCCACTCGGAATAATTTTAATCACTCATATTTTTTTTTATTGATTAAGTCGATTATTTATACATATCGGAAAGTTCATGTAACTTGCCTCAAGGCAAAATACCAATACCAACTAGTTTTACATAAAATTTAGTTTTGATCATAAAACCATCATAAAAGTTCCTATCTTATCTATATATTTCTATCATAGGCATAGACTACTAATGATTCGTAACTGTAACATACATTTTGTAGTGTTGTATTTACTAACAAATTTTGACAATAAAACAATGAAAATGTTATTGTGGACATAAGCATATTATAGTTTAGTACTCATAATTTCGTGTAAATGCAAAATTAATAAATTTGCATTAAAATTTGATGTCAAATATTTTTTAACAGAGACTAATCGGGCATAACATCAGTGAAGAAATGATTTTATGCTATAGTTTAGTGGAACTAAAAATAAAATTTTATGAAAGAGTATAACAATTGAGTTTGAAAAATTACCAAAAGTATACAGTATTTAAAATTTGCTTAAACTAGTGTTGAAAACATAAAACTCACACACACACACACTCATATAAATATATAAATATATATATATATATATATATATATATATATATATATATATATATACTAGCTACGTTGTTTTGCTAAGTAAGGTATATTCTAAACAATTTCTAGAGAATCAAAAATATTAATACTTCAAAGTGTATAACGATGTGTTGTTTGAACGCTATATACAATGCTGTATTATAAAAACAATAAACCCTATTAGTTTGTCTATATTTTGTCAATACAATTAAACTGGAAGATTTATACACTTTCTATAGAAAACATAGTATAATCCAACCCAAGTCTTTTTTGGTCTTTCGACTTATTGATTACGTTTCAAGTTTTCCAGATTCCTTTTCGGATTCGGGATTTTGTGTATAATTGTAAATAATGCTTATATGAAATTTTCAAATTTTTGCGAGGGGAGATAAATAATGAATTAAGTATTTCTTCTTTTATCCTGCTTTTTGAAAAGTTTCAAGTAACATTCGATGAATTAAAGTAAATTTAATAAAAAGTATATATGTAGAGCAGGGCGAGGCACGAAGGTCCAATTTGACTTTGAGCAAATATTAATTATATTATATAAATCAAACCAATTATATCACAACAAATAACACATTTCAAACGAACAATTATCTGACTACGTTCAGTAAAACTGTCAGCTACTTCATCATTGTAGAAAGGTGCTTTTTTGCTGTCTTTAAAAAATTTATTATCTAGACTTTTTTACCCTATAGGCGGAGTAACTTGTAACGGCCAAGTGGCAAACAGGTTTAATGTCTTATTTTAATTTTAAAGGTATTTTAAAAAACAATTACATTTTTAACTAATGCTAAAAAACTACCAACAGAAGAAAATACTTTTATTATGGATTTTCAAAGATTACCGTTTATCTCCCGATAGCAAAGTCATAAGAATCAAAGTTATAGCTGGTTATACATCTTTTTCCCTCTACTTTCAAATATTGTTGTTAAACAATGCTTATCTTTACTGATTTTTGACACATCGGTGGTGGACCTTTTTAACCCCGGACCTTCATATATTACTATCTATTCTGCGATAAATTCTGGGAAATTATAACTGGAACAATGTTATTCGACAAAATGTCCATTTAATCGATACCAAATTTAGGTTCTGAATTTAAATAACATAAATTTTATATTTTGAGTCTCTAGTAACACTTGCGGCCCGTTTACTAACGTTTTTGTATATAATTAGAACTACAAACAAAACTTACTTACTACAAATTTATCATAATTAAATAATATTCGCGTAAAACATCATATTAAACGTAATTGAACATCATCTGTCAAAAGCGTTTGACATTTCACGTAATTGCCACCGTCCATTGTTTTATTTAAATAACGCTTCTACAAAAATTTTCAAATTAAAAATGTAAAGTTTCTACGCGGATTTGAAATAATTTCTCACCTTTTGGACCTTCTCTGGATTGGCACGAATTTTTCAAGACTAAGACTGGCCAAATCGATTCAGCCGTTTCCGAGTTTTATTCGGACATTTGAAAGAGAGCTCCATTTTTATATATAAGAAGATATATAAATAAACTGTTTGATTTTAATAAATAAGTAACCCTCAGTATGTGAGTTAAAAGTTTATAAATTGAATAACCCGGCGTCAACTGCGTAGTGAGTAGAGCTGCTACATCTCTCTCAGCGCGATCAATATTGTTTAATATTTCATTGAATTTATAAAAGCGTTCAGCATCAGAAATTTCTACAGGTCGCTTGAAGCAGGTAGTATTTTCTTATATGCAGAACAATTTCACTTACTGTGCTTGCGATTTTGCATGAACTGGATGTATTATCAGGGTAATAAATGAATTACTACGACTTTGGTTTGATTAAAGTTCTTACAATTGTAGCTATACTTTCAAAAAACTTTACGCAAAAAGTTGTTACGGTTCTTAATGATTTCTATTTATATCATCACTTTCCAATTTTGAACATAGATAATCACAGTAATGATTCATATTTTAAACACAGTATATTAGTGTCGTATAATTAACGCAATATTTTTCATTTTATTCTTTGGAATAACGTTATGGATTTTAATTTTTATGCATTTGAGATATGTAATAAAATTTATTACTAAAGTTTGTGTATAGATGAAATATTTTGACTCAAAACTAAAGAAAATATTAATGGTTAAGGATATAATATTCAACTTGACAAGAATTTCTGAATATGCTTATACTTTGTCTTTAATGCCCGACTAAAATATCGAACTAGCTGTAAGTGGAATTCTGTCTTGAGGCAATTATGGCATCGTGCCTTAAGGCAAATTGCTGGAACTTCCCGTACCGTAACGAAATGTTCGAGGAATACTGAATGTTTTCAAATAGATTATTATAAATATTGTAACATTGTGTAATATTTATAAGAATTATATAAACTGAATTGCAGAGTTGAAATTATTTGTAAAGTATATTAGAACTATAGTCAGAATTAAAAATTAAATCTGAAATATTTTCGATATACAAAAAACTAAAAAAAAAAAAAAAAAAAAAAAAAAAAAAAAAAAAAAAAAAAAAAAAATGGAACAAAATTTTTTTTTCCAAAATCAATTATTTTGTTAAGACAAGCTGAAAGTTCTTTCAATCATTTAAATCGGACGCTTAGTTCTCTCAAAAACTGCCATTTTTTACATATTTAGCTCCGTATCTTCAAAATGGCTGGGCCTGCCTTTGCCAAAAACTAATAAACACTTCTCCCAATCATTACTAATTGAATGTTTTTTTACATCATTCAAATCGGATACTCCGTTCTCTCAAAATTCGATTTCTATTTTCTGCACTCTTTGCTCCGTATCTCCGAAACGGCTGGACCTGCCTTTGCCAAAAACTAATCAGCTCTTTTCCCTATCAATAGGAATCGAATGTTTTTTGAACCATTCAAATCGGTTGATCCGTGCGCCCTGAAACGTGACTGGAAATTTGTATCCATACATACATACACACACACACACACACACACACACACACACACACACACACACATCCATTT